ACCTAATAATAAGTTCTGCTGGCCTTGTACTCCTTAAATTATTTCTGAGAAGAGCCTGCAAATGATGGAAATCGTCAGGCTAATTGCAAACTAGGGGTTGGTGGGGCTGGATTGTATTGCCTGATGTTGAGAGGGGCAGGCACCAGCGCGGCTCTGGTGCAAACCAGGAGGCAGAGTGTTGCGCTGGGCTGATTAGTTCAGCTCTCAGCTGCAAATGAGTTCGGGGCACTCGCGGACCCAGGAGCTGCTGACATGTGGAAGCACCAAGCCCTCAAACCCGAGCATTTCGAGTTGGCACGAGTGATGTCAAGCGTTGTTCCACTCATTATCGCAGCGGGTGAAGGCAGCTCCAAATCTGCATCCTCCCCCACTGCTCTCAATGGGAAGAGAGTGAAAAATAAAAGTATTGCCTCCTCCATTGGCTTTCTCACTACTTGACTGACAGCGGGGGGCCTTTCTCACATCCAGGCATTTAGCAGCAGGTGTGTAGTAATCACCAGGACCTGCTAATTCTCCAAAGGCCGAGTGCCAAGGTGCTACGTCTCTGTCAACCGAGCAGCTGGGAGGATGGCGCCGATCTCGTGGTCCGGGGCTGGCCCCCAGGAGATAATCTGCTAGTTGGTCTCAGTTCAGAGATGGGCCCATTTGTACCTTTCAGGTTTGTTTTTCCCTTGTCATCTCAAATGCTCCCCTCTCCATGGACGAGGCCTGTTTCTGATCCATCTATCAACCAGTGGGCTCCAGTAACAAAGCTGAGGTCAGCATTACCGAAGCCAGAATATGGCATCTCTTTATAGCTTCAATTTTTGCTCCTTCCTGCTCTGTTCACCTGCAGCCACTTCAATTTAATCCACGTTACAGAAGCCACGCACACGGCTGGATGAACTCAGCACGCCTAGCCCAGTTGGTCTTGCTTTTCAGATGCTTGATACTGCAGTACCATCTTTATTTATGCCGTCCCTTTTTAACAGTCAGGCTGCTGCCTACTAACTCCAGGTAGGTACAAAGGGCAAAATGCAAATCCTAAATAGCCTGCGGGTGGGATAGCAGGGCCGAGACTTCTGTTCAGATTCATCTCCTGTTTCAGTGACGCTGTTCGCATGCTTTAAAGTTAGGCCCGTAACCAATGGCTTTGCTTGCTAGAATCGGGCCAGTGTTCAGCAGCTCACAAGTGAAAGCCTTTATGTACCGTCTTCTTCTGTTAAATTGTAGGGAACAAAAGGCCTCCCATCTCAACCTATCACAGGCTGTATTTATAACTTCTGGCAATGCAGCAATGTTAGCCTTATCCAAAGAAAATACAGCAGCAGGTCTATTTTTGAAGGTGCGGCAGCTTATTTTTTCCCGCTGGAAATATCTGAGGTCGGTCAGTCTCAATGCAAAAACTTCGCTGCAGTTTAACTCAAGCCTTTCTGATCCAAGATCCCCCTCCCCTCTCTGAATGATTGAATTCCTCTGAGATGCCTTGTAAGAGCCCATTTACTGTCCCTGACCCAAACAGTTAACTCACCAGACAGCTCCGTGTTTGCTTCGCCTCAACGTTTAAAGAGGCTGTGTTTGCTTAAGTCTTGCCTTCCCTCTTACGTTCATTCATAGATCCAGTACGAATAGCTGCAAAACTGAAACAAATTTAACCAGCCCAAAACTGGTAATAATAATTGGGTGGATTATTTTTATGCAAAGGGTTTTGAGATGTGCAAAAAATGACACCCCCCCCCGACCCTCCCCACCTCCCGTTCTTGTATTTCAGAATAGTTTTCTGGGCTGACGCTTAGAAGCATGCCAAGGAAGGAGAAAGCCAGAAATGGCTTAATTATCTCGTTTCGAAATTAAAAATTGCATGCTGATTCCTTCTCCACTCCAGGTGTGTGTGTGTGTGTGCGCTGTCTCACATGTGCAGGTGCTTTCTGTGCATCTGTTGACTTGCAGCTTTCTCATGAAGGAGTTTGAACTGTTGTGTCGAGGCGCTGGAAATCCCACTCGCTGAAATGTGCACATGAGAGGCTTGTGGGGTTTTTTTCTGGTATGCAAATAGGTATTATCCATTAAGGTGAATTAGTCATGTGTATTTATACATCAAGGGCACATTTTGAGGAACTGCTGTCAACTACTCCCAGAGGCTGCTGTGAGTCAAACCACAGGTCAAGCTTAACTAAAGAAAAAAATAAAATCTTTAAGGAGAAGTTGCCGATTGTTACCTCTCTTCATGGCATTGTAACCTTATTGTGGTCTGTGATCTAGTAAGTCTTGGGTTTAATGTCTTAATATGCAAATATTCTGACTGACATCACAACCTCCATGGAATTGATGGCCCTATATATAGAGCATGATACGACCCAACATGAATATAGGTGGCATGAATATCTTGTGCCTTGTCTGTCGCATCCAGGACTGGGAACAACATATGGAGATATCAGTGGCCTTGTACAGATGTTCAGTTTCTCCTGGGAGAGTTGCTGCTCTCCCAGGAGAAACCATGAGGGTACAGACGTTCAGGCTTTTTCTCCCAGCATAAAAATGGCTGCTCCCGGAGAAAAATAACTTGGGAACAACCAGGATTAAATCACTGCCAGAGAGTTGGCAGCCACAGCTCCCTTGAATTGCCTTGTAGAAAGGATTTGCTGAACCAAACAGCAGCCTTGACACATTCTGATCCCTGGCTTCAAGAGTATGGAAAGTATATAAATATATTTGATATTGCGAAAGGGCTCCATTGTTCTTTGAGTCCTCATAATCATGTCAGCACTGATAAATACAAGTAGTTAGGCAGATAATTATGTCACTATAAACCCAAGTTTATGCTTGCACAGTTCATATAGTTTAGGAAGCATTGGCAGTAACATGATGTCTCAATAATATAAAAAGAAGTGCATTTAACCTGCAGGATTAATGCCTGAAAACACTGCAGAACACCATGCATGAATGAGAAAGGATGAATACAACTTGGGCAAAATGGCTTTGCTCCAACAGTTGTTTTGACAAAATAGTTAGGCAGTAATGCAGTTTACATTAAGGCACCCTTAAGTACCAGTGAGGTTGGTGCGATGCACGACAGGTTTAATGTAAATGTTTATAGACTTGGCCTACTCATTATACCAATGGAAAAAAAAAAGCAATATTAACATATCAAGCCTCCGTGTCTGTGCTTACCAGCGTGCTATTGATTCATAGAAAAAAATTCCATAATTATAAATTACATAATGTAATGGGAAAAGATGATGTCCAGTTTAGTAAGGAATTAACTTGGCACTAGGATTTGAAATGGATCACTACTAGTAACACGATAGGTACAGGGTCCTCCTGGAATAAATAGCTTGAACACTGGCACCACAGATCCTGGCCGCTAGCTAAAGTCCTGACCTAGCAACACACGTATGAACGTGCTTAACTCGCAGTGACTGCGTCATTCCACTGATGGCACCGTACTCAGACATGCACTGGGGGGGTACTGAGGTCTTGGGCAGAAGGTGAGGAGCAGCCGCGTCTCACAGTCGACTTTGCAAGTGCCCGCTATTCCTGCAGATCCGGCGAGCTCTCTCATGTGAATCTGCACTCGAATTGCTCCGTTTCCATTTGTTTATGAGAAGAGGCTCTGAGGGTTTCACAGGCAGTGACGGTTTCATTCGCTGTTGGCTGGAGGCCCTGAAAAACGATAGTGTTGTTTCCATGGCAGACAGTTGTAGAGCTCCTTTCGCCAGAGCGAATGCCAGCACCTGATTCTGGATCCAAGGGGCTTTCATTTAAATTCCAGCTGTGCAAATGCAAAATGAACTGCCCTCAGCTGTGGTCACCGGCGGGATTGTTGCATTGTGTGCAGCCTGGCATTGTGACCCAGATCAAATCGTATCTCACAAGGGGCCAGGCTCTGCGGCCTTCTCATGGGATCCCAGTGCCTACGGGGGTCATCTGGCTGCAAGTGATGTTGCAACCCCGCTAAAGCCAAGGGGTGCAGGACCCAGTGCTGGCAGAGCAGGGTGAGGTGATGACATGGTGTGAGCCCTTCACGCATGTAACTCTGGGGAGGGCTTTGCTCGACTCCACCCACAACATGTCAAGGGCACATCTCGTACCCCTTGAGTCATAAGTGAGTTCTCGCTGCGGGTCCAAGCCCAAGACAGCTAACATAGAAGGGCTTTCCATTGACTCCAGACTTTGAATCAAGTTGCTTCTGACCTCCAGTGATGCTTGTCTCCTATAAACACGCACCTGGGTTAGGTGCCTCTGCAGACAAGAATAGATTGGAGAGAAACCACGTGTATTATTTGGAAATAGCACATGGCAGGGGGGTATAATTCTCTCTCTTTAAACTGTTTCTTTTCTATATTGTTACCTTGACAACTCTGCGGCTGTGTTTCATCTCTGGTGGAACTCAACTGTGGTGGATCGGGGGACATCCATGCATGTTTCTCCATCTCCCCCGGCTCCGCTTCTCAGGCAGGAGTCGGTCCCAGGTATCCACAGCTGCAGAACACGTGCTCGTTATCCCGGCCTGTGGTGTCATCTGGAGATGATTACAGGTACTAAGAACTGGGCCCCTTTCTGATTATTAAAGGCAGAGCAGTTTGTCTGTTTTCCCCCCTCCCTTAAGCCAAGACCAAAGCAATGTTCATTACTGAGGGAAGGAGATGCAAGGTGCTTTAAATATTTTTTCTGGGGTTAGGACAGCTTGAGAGCAGAGAGGAGTGAAAGTACTCCAAAATAATTGTATTATTTTTAGTCTAAGCAGCTACAGGAGTGTATAACAAGGTTAGGGTGCAGTTCTGATGCACTGAACTGAGCCTCAAGATGCTAAAAATATGCTTTCTTTTCTCGTAGTTGAAATTTCAGGAGAGGCAAAGGTAAGGGGGGGGGCAGGGATGATGGTGAACTGGAAATGTTAACTCCTATATTTCCATGCTTCATGGGGCTCAGCAAACAGCCTGCCACCTCCATTCAGCCCAGGTCCCGGGATATTCGTGGGGAGTAGGGAGCGGTGCAACAGTGCCATCCGCGCCGTGAGGAAAGTTGGTGAAGGAAATACCCTCTCGGGTTCAGCATTGGTGCAGAGATGACTTGCTTTCTAGCTGCAAATACAAGCCATGTAGTCTCCGTGGGCTTAGGGCAGGAGCGTGCTTGCAGGGAGTGGTGGGGGGCTCTTTAAGGCAAAACACATGTGTTTTCAATTGCTCTCTGGAGCCAAACCAGTAGCTGCAACTTGGCCTGACAGAGCCTTATTGAAGTAGAGACAGAGCGTGGTTTCAAAGCAGTTAGAAAGAGACCGGGAATGCTGCTCAGGAAATTCTTCAGGCATGGGCAGGGACTTGGCTGCAAGTCGGCTGCTGGAAAATCTGACAGGGGCAGCTCATGAACGCAGCCTAGGCCCCGTGCTGCTCTGAAGGCAGCCCTGCACCCTCCCGGCCGCCTCCTGCGTGCCCCAGGAGCAGAGGGTTTTCACCCAGCCCTTGCAGAAGAGGTAAGGAGCGCATTTTTCTTTCTCCGGGCACTGGATTTGCTTTGCTGCTCCTCTGCGTGGCTGCTGGGGAGGCTGTTTGCTTTCTGCAGAGAGGAAGAAGTTTATAATGTGCAGTGGCATTTTTGCCGAAGAAGCTGGCTTAGCGTGGGGTGCTGGCTTCTCTTTAACTCGACTTAAAGGGGAATTGTTCAGCCAGATCCAGTCTCGCCGTGGCACGTTACAGCTGGCAGCAGACCTGCTGCTCAAACCCCTCTCCGCTTCGTTTGTCTGTGGAAGTGGGTGTATCAGCCCAGGACCCTTTCCAGGGGTAACGGCATTTGGCTGTGTACCGAGAAACGAGAGCAAAGTAGTGTGGCTCCTCTTCAGTCAGTCAATATTATGCATCGCCTTATGCAGCTGGAACAAATGAATATGCAGCGTAGCAATGTATTTACATCCATTACATGGGGCCGAAGTTGGTTTGTGTACCTGCTTCGGGGTACTACTTAATACCCCCCCACCTCCGATACGGGTTCATCAAGTCCTGTAGCAAGATTTTTAAGACAGGATTTAATTCTACCGCAGCCTTTGATTTGCAGCTTTTGTGCAGTTGTTGTTCTTTCGAGCATATGGTTTTGTAGCTGTAAAATATCAGCAGAAGGGAACACGTATGGCACATGAGACCCAACACAGCCACAGCCGGGACGTTCGAGCCCCAGACTTGCATTTGACTCGGCGGCTGTCCTCGCTCCAGCTCCTCTGCGCTTTGTTCCCTAAATAACTACGAAACATTTAGGTTTCTCGTTTTTCGGAAGAAAGCGCAGCTGGGTTTATAGATTTACTTTCTTGCCTTCTCGGTTGCAGCTTGAGAGACTGATAGCAACTTCTGATATGGAGGGCTGTGGTTTGGAAACGAGGGTGTGTGCCAGGAGGATACCCCGTCCTGCGGCTTCACCCCCTCGGACGGGTGCGCAGCTGGCATTTGCTGCCTGGACCGTGCTTCTTTTCCAGGCGTGGGGGTTTAAGGACAACCAGGGGTTTGACTGGGGTTAGGATGGATATGGGGGGGCACCCTTTCGGAGGGCAGGGGGTGTAGCATGCCTTTCGTAAGGGAGGAAGGAGCAAAGGGAGAGATGAAAGGGTCTCTTAGAGCAAGAGAAAAGAGAGAAAAGTAGAGGCTTGGTGAGCAAGCAATATTAGGAGGAACTACCCCGGGGGAGAAGGGGTCTGAGGGGTCAGATGGGGGCTGGGGGGTAGATGGCTTGTTGCAGGAGGTGTTTCACCCACTTTGCAAGGAACGGGTGGCCCAGTCCATTAGGTCACGCCGGGCCCGGGAAACCAGTCCGGATTAGCAGCCCCAGTCTCTGCTTCTTTTGGGGCAGACACACACTTCTGTGCAAGCAAGCTCAGAGATGAGTCAGGGCACTGGGCATGAAGGGGAACACGCTGCCTACCCCCAGCCCTCCCCATACCCCAAACCACCCCTGCAGTGAGTCGGGGATGAGCATTAAGACAGGGCCGAGGGTCCGAACCCTGCCCGCTCCTTTCAGTGCATGCTTCGGCTCCACTGCCCTCCCTCCCAGCAAGCAAATCCAACCCAATTATGGAAGCAAAACAGCCCAGCTTCTGCAGGGTTTGATTTCAGCCCTTTTTGGAGGTAAAGCCCAGAGTAGCATGCCAGTTCATCAAGCACACCACCTACAAGCTGGGGCAGAAGAGATGCTTTTAGCCCCGAGTTTCGTCAAGGTCCATAGGCAAGCAGGTCCTTCCCAACAAACTCCAGGAGCAAAGGGAGAGAAACCCTCTTGTATAGGAATGTCTTCCACCCCTGACCCACCGCAGTGACAGCCCTGGGAGAGCCCGCAAAGCTTGAGGACCAGCAGGAAATCATCCGACACTGGCATTTCCGAGGGAAGCCCGCGCTTCTCCTGCCCTGTCAATGCATCACCCCTTCATCCCGTGCAGCGGGGACCGTCCTGTTGCAGCCTCAAGCCACGTGGAAGAGAAAATCAGCAAGCTGCTGCTTTGGGCTGGATGAAGGCAGATGCGAGATGGGGATTCCCGGGATGTCTTGGGACGTGGGATAATTATGGAAGCTGGTGGCTGTTTGCTGCTTTTCATGTGCGATGCCTCTCCAGCGAGTCTGCTTTCCTGTCTCCTTGGGCCATGCAGATGTTTTGAAAAGCATATCCAGATGCTGGCAGAGGAGTCCAGGAGGAGTTGTAGCATGACTGTCCCCATGGCCTTCGAGGAGTAGATAAAACCTCCCTCATGAAGGGAGTGATTCACAGCCAGCGGAAAGACCCATGCGGCATGCGTGAGACCTGGATTGAGTCCTGTTTGCTGCACCTGGTACATGAATTATCTAGGGCAGAGGTTCTCAGCTTGTTTAGATTTGAGGCACTCCTCGGAAAATGCCAGCTGTTAGCTTGCCCTCGTTTTTTGATGACAAAATATAAAAGAGCAATTCTGCTGCAGAAAACTCAGAGGCTAGGGACAGAAGTTATACATCAACCTGTATAAGTGATCGGAAACTGGTTCACATCTGGAACGCAACAGAAGTCCAGCATGCATAAACTGCTTTCAAAGTGGCCAAAACCACTTTAAAGTAAACCTGGATGGATGTAGTATCAGACTGAACTGATTTAGGTTAAATCGGTTTATTGAACTTCTGTCCCAGATGCCCTTTAGGGTCAAGTTAATGCACAGTCCCCCAGCATCCCAGGATGCTTTGAGCCTCCCCTGCAGACCTCCCCCACCCCATGCAGGGTGAGGAGGGTAGGCTTGGCCAAACTGTCTGCTCCAGCCGGGCAAGGAGGCATGCTCTAGCGCCCCCCGGCTTCTGGCCTGGGCCCCTGCAGGCATGTGGCTGCATTTCCAGAATCAGAAATGAATGTCTGTTCGCTTGCTTACGGGTTCAATCTACGCGGTTTAGACTAACCTGCGAAGATTGAATCGATTCAGCCTCGGGCTTTTGAACTGTCTTGACTTAGCCTGAAAGACCACAACAAGCAAAGCTGTTTTGACACTGGGGATTCCTATTTGAAAGGTCTGGGTTCATCTCATGAATCGTGTTTGAACACGTGATGGTGCTGATGTTGTGTGGCACCCTGCGGTTGAGAATCACTCGATCGAGGGTGCAGTACTCTGAGAGGAGTACAGCTGGTGAGGTAGAACTTACTTATGGGTTCAGTCAGCTTCAATGGGTTCAAACTGGGAAGTTTTAAAATGCAGTGGCTGCATTTCTGTTGTTTTTTTAAATAGGGCTATAAATGTGGGAATGGCTGTCTGATTCTGCAAGGGACTAATACCACAGTTTAGGGAATGGTGGGCACTTTAAATATGGCTTGATCAAGGCATACATTGCTTTCCTATCCTTGCCACTTGTGCTAGGCCCACTGATGCAGTTTGATAGCCACACCTAGCAGTATTTTCTCTTCCAGCACCCCTCCTCTAGCTCTTCTTCCTGAATTCTCCCTCTCCAGTCTGTATTATGCATTTAAAAAGGAAGACCTCTGCCAAAAGAGACAAATAAAAGGATCTTTCTAGATAGTACTGTCTCCTGGTGCTTAATTTTCTGCTGATTTCTTTTTAATGTATTAGTCAGAAGAAATGGCCCAGATGTAAATTATAACAAACGTGCTTTTCTCTCCCACGGAAAGCTGATTATTGATAGCAGATGTGTCTTGCTTCTTTTCGAGCTGCCTTGAAAAGCTTTTCATTGAACTCGCTTGTTTAACAGACCTCAGCCCTCTGTGTCTATCATTATTTCTTTTTCCTTAAGAGAATTGGAGACCTGATCATTTTATTACTGGCAGTGCACAAAAAATGCAAGTTCAAAGCTGCTTTATATACATGGTTACGTGGTGTAGTACACGATGATCATGTGAGTATCATGTTTTATAGCCATGTCTAAAATATGTAGCATTCTATGTCAGAATCATGTTAGGCCAAGCACTGGGACACTTTCACCAGGTATGAGCAGTGCTTCCCTTGATATGTCACTGCTTATTGTAGAACTGTACGCATACCATGTGCCTTGAATTGGAGAAATTCTCCAAATCAGGCTCTTGTTTGGATTCAGGCTGTCACTGTGGCTATGTCCGGCTCTCACAGAAATCTTTTTTGTGTCTGCAAAACTTTTTCTCCAGGTGGGCATGAGGTTTGATCACAGAATAAAAACTGAGCAGGAGTTTGCTCTTGCAACAGGTACAGAAATCCATGCCTGTTTGAAAGCAGGTGGTGCACAGGGTACCACATTTGGTTCCTGGATTGGCCAGACGTAGCGTGTGGTTTGGGAGGGCGGGAGATGCAGTTGTCATTCATTTTCAGTATTACAGCCCCCAGGCTGGCTCACATGTGGAACGGGATGCAGAAAGGCCAGAGGGAGCATTTGACTGGGGATGCTGAAACCAGACCCTTTAGTGAAACAGAATCATCGAAAACAAGGGCTGGAAGGGAGCTCAGGAGTCGCATCTGGTCCAGCCCCCTGCTCCAAGCAGGACCAGCCCCAACTCCATCATCCCAGCCGAGGCTTTGTCTACCTGGGTCTTGAAAACATCCAGCTGTAACCCAGGTACACCGAGGGTGTGCCCTCCCAGACAAATGGAGACAGGCTAGGGTGCTGAGGGAGGGACATCACCGCCCTACATGTGGCTCCCTCCATTTCCCTACAGAGACAGCCCCACAAGTGTACTCTTAACTATATACAGTTTTATTATTACAAATATAGTTAAAACATTGACATGCCAGAAATAATTGAATACCTGATATTACAAAATAACTTCCATAATCTCCAAGTCAAGAAATGAGTTACCCAACACAATGAATCCAATAATATTCACCCCAGTGGGTAAAACCCAATACACAAACTGTTGCAAAACAAATGGGGAAGTTTGGGGCTGTGGTCACGTGCAGCGGTGCACGGTGCTCTCTCTGCAGTTGGATTATTCAGGGCTCAGCTTGTGAACAGCTGTGATGTGGGTGCAATGGGGAGAAGGCCAGCTGCGTGTACCTACACATGCGCAAGCATGAACACAGTTGTGGGGCTCCTCCCGCAGCAGCAACCCCTACAGCCCCTGTGGCCTGGGGGGTCCTTCCTGTCTAGGAGGCAAGACATGCAAAGGGAAACGGGAGGGAGAGCTGTAGTTGTGCAACACTTCTTCCATGTGCATGGGAAAGCCTGGTGGGCACTGACACAGCACTACGTGGTGCAGCACAGAGATACCAGGGGTATCCCTGCATGGTGCTGCACTGTGTCCTGTAGACATACCATGAGAGACATCATGTCCCATTCAAAGGTAGGCGGCCATGGCAGCACGGTGCTCCCTCCTGCACCTGATACTGTCCGCTGGACCACGGAGGTAGCTCCTTCCCAGAGCTGGTCCAACCCAGCTGCAGTCCTATGCCCTGCTGTGGGCACAGAAATCTTAGGGGCGCGTGCTCCACTTGCCGCATCGCCTTGGCCCCCCTCCCACTCCTCTCCGCTATGTCACCTGTGCCTCCCCGCAGCGTATCACCTGTGCCCCCTCCCCTCTGCCCCCATTGACTTACTTGCAGGGAGCTGCTCTCCATTGCTGCTTGGCTGCCATGTGCATGTGTGCATGGTGCTTCCTGTCTTTGAGCGCCCTCCCCACTGCCCCCAGCCCCAAGAAGCCCCTTGCTGGCCCATGTTTTTCTCTGTTAAAGGAAAAAATCTGTGTTTTTCTGCAGGAAATGGAAAACGTGGATCCCTGGTAATAGCTCAGAGCCTCAGTCATTTATTCCTATACACATCACCTTATATCCAGCACACTTAGCATAACTGAATCCATCTTTTACAATATAAAATATTATAGAAATATTGCATGATTTTCCTCAGGTTTGGGCCCTGACAGTCCTCTTTCCAAGGGGCACTAGGGCCCTTGGGCCCCCACGTACTCGGTGCCGGTGATTCAGTGTAAATCTCACACTGGTGATGTGCTGATTTGATTTGGGCTGTACAGATGGAGAACTTTCCATTTTAAGCCTCTTCAGTGGAACGACAGAAAGAACTCAGAGCCGTTACCCTCCCCCCTTTCTTCAAAGCCACAAGGAATAATTTTGAGACTTTTATTTGAATTAAAGCCTCTGAGAAGTCATACTGCACCTTCAAAACAAACTGCTGAACTCAACTTCTTTTACCAAACGCACGCAAAATTTTACCCTCAGGATTTTTAGGGGCCCTGGAGTGCCTGCCTTGCAGAAAACCTGGAGCTGTTAACAGAGTCGTTGGAGAATGGTCTCCATGGGAAACCTTCTGCTGTGCGTGCGTGTGTGTGTATATGTATATGTGTGCGCATATATATGCGTGTGTGCATATATGTGCATATATATGTGTGCATATATGTATGTGTATGTGTGCACACGTGTATACATGTGTATGTGTGCATGTATATATATGTGTGTGCAAATATATGTATGTGTATATAAGTACGTGTGTGTACGCGTGTGTAAGTATATGTATATGTGTGTAAGTGTGTGTGTGTGTAAGTGTGTGTGTGTGTGTGTGTGTGTGTGTGTGTAAAAGAGCGAGATATATATAAACTGTGATGATTTAGTACTATATAAAATAAGCCCTAGGAAAATCAATGCAGAAAGAAGCCGCGGGAAGAGACACTGACCAGCTGGTAATTTCTGGAGTTAAAGGACGCTCTGAGAAGTATAGACACAAGCCCTTAGGCAGTTCTCATCATCTGATTTGCCCTGCAGCTTAATGTACATGCTCATCTCCATGCATTTGTTTCAGATGCCTCAGGAACAGTACGCGCACCGGAGCGCCATGCAGAGCTCGGAAGGACCGCAGGTTTACAAAGTGGGGATTTATGGCTGGAGGAAGAGATGTCTCTATTTCTTCGTGCTCCTCCTCATGATTTTAATCCTGGTGAACCTGGCCATGACCATCTGGATTCTCAAGGTTATGAACTTCACCATCGTAAGTAGGGGTTTCCAGAAAGGCTTTGCATGATGGGAGAGGGACTGGAATTTCCTCCCTGGAGCTGAGAGGAACGTGGTGCTCCAGTTCCCAAACTTGCATGTTACAGGGCCGAGCCATGAAGATACCCAATCATCTCCTGGGGGCTGGATGTGATGATCTCGCAAGGCCAAGGTCCCGTCCAGCCCTAATGGCCATGAAATGTATAATCTCCTTCATCTGGAGGAGGACTCCCAAGGCTGTGTGCGGTGTTATAAGCCCCAGGCGTTCAAAAATCATGCATCGGTTCCCCAGAAAATAAGACTGGCTTTAAAAATGATAACGTTCAAAAATTAGGAAATTGCTTTTGGGTTTGTTTTTTGCACATTTTTTTGCACATTATCACTTTTCAGCCTCTTGTGGGCTAAGATCTTGTGTGTTTTATCACTTCCCCCATGACCACAAGGGCAAGAAGCTCCTTTTGCCTTCTCATTTTAAATGAAAGCTGTTGCGTGATCACGGGGGGGTTTTGTCACACCTGAGGTTGGGAGAGTTGCAATAACATCACAAGAGTCTGGCAGCACGGTGCGTGCTCTTTACGTGAAAATTAGCCGAGCATATTCTTATCTTCAGCCTTGGTTTGCAAACGTGCCTCCTGTCGTTACTGTAAGCATCCGTTCCTCGCTGATTGGAGCTCCCTCATTGGGTCCAGTCTAACTCCCCCTGCAAACCAGTGGAAAAAGATCTTTAATGGGGGAGAGATTACACTGAGGCAGGGTCCCCCCACCAGACCAAGGGCAGCAGCACAAGCCCCGTGCACCACTTCAATTCTCTTTTTGAGGATATTAAATGGTACCTAGCTCCTGGTGAGCCTGATCAGACCTAGGGCCAAGGCACACACCTTTTTAACACCAAAGTCACCTGCATTGGCTTGAGGAGTGCCTGCAGCAGGCAGATAATTGGCTTTTCTGGAGTAGCTGCCAGAAGAGGTCATTAGGCAGTGGGGAACTAGTAACTGCCTGTTTGAATTGAGCAAACAGCTAGCCCAGGATAGAAGCAGACCCACAGCATCTATACCAATATAACTTATACCAGTGTAGCTTTACCTCTCATTTTTCCCATGGTACCTTTACAAGGGACTCTCGTGAGTTATGCTGATGCGGGTTACGCTAGGGATAATGCATCCTGTGTCCAGGTCCCTCACCTATATTATCTCACTAATAGTCTGTGGGAGGTTGAGTAATAATCAGTAATTTACTGCATCCAATCAGCAAACTGTTATGCTGTCAGAACTTATGGAAGTCATAGTCTCCAACAGCTGTCCTGGGACAGATATACGGTGAGCAGTAATACTCCGGAAATGTAAGTGCACCTTGGGAGCAAGAGATTTTAAAGCAATGATCTGCAAGAAATAAGCTATTATCAGTAGCTCACTGAAGAGTCAGTCACATCTGAGTGATTAAAGCTTTACCAGGCTGGTTATATACCTGAATGGGGTTAGCTCCAGTTTTAACTGCTCGGTGCAATAGTTCATTGTATAACGGGTATGCTGGGATAGTGGTGTGCTAAAGAGAAATAGCAGCCGAGATGCACATAGTGTTGCAGCGCTGCTCCCTACAAGTCGTCTGCAAAGCGATCTCCCAAAGTCCAGGCATCTTTCAGGGAGCCACCGGCTCCCTGCAGCTCTCCAGCTCAGCTGAGCTCTTCGGCAGCTTTTTGGGGGACAAGCTCATCTGCAAAAGCTATCGCTTAAACCTTTGCTTCTCAGCCTGATGGACAAGTCACACGTCCGGTAAGGCCTGACTCCCCATAAAGTGCCAGATACTCTGTGCAACCCATGTTGGTGCCAGTCCGGGGCATAAACTCCATCCTTGTGGGTTTCTAGTTAATTCACCTCCCTATGCTGTAAGTTTGTAGGCAGTAAACAGTCGGTGGTGATAACAGCACAAACTTAAAAATACTGAAGCCTGCAAGGGGAGCAGCTTTATATGGGGTTTGTGAAATACCTACCCAGGTATAAGGAGGTTATTTTGAATCATGTTGTGAAATTAAACCCCCATCCACCTAATGTCCCAGCAGTGACACGCTGGTAGTTAGGGGAAGACACAAAGCCATTAATGCCAGGGAATTATGTATTGCTGTGGGCACATTGTCTTCAGGTTTTATTTTTGCTCCCAGGAATTACAGCCCAAGCTGAGCCTTCACATGTTCCCCCAAGCGAATGAATCGGTCTCGGAGGAAAGAGGTCAATTTGGTTTAATGTCTTTGTGGGGCCAGTTCAGTTCCCGGCTGCTTGAGGTGGATCTGGTCCAAAAGCTTGCACCATTTGGGATGCCCCTTCTATTTTGCCCTGATCCTATGGACACTTGAAGCCAGTAAGCCATGCTTCGTGTGCCAAGTGCTGGGTAATAACACAGGAGGACTCTGTGTTTATCAAACTATCTCCGCTCTTCCTTAAATCCAGTCTTTACAGGACTGTCCCACCCATAGCTTGAGCACAGGGGAAAAAAATGCTGGTATTGTCTTGAAACTTTTTTTCTCATCTTCTCTCCAGCTTTGGGGGGCAAGTGGCTTCAAGTTAGGAACGGTGTTGTTACAGGTTTGAAGTCAGTGTGGACTTTTCTCTTTTGGGGTACCCGGTCCATTGGTCTCCCCTGAATGCTTGCGGGATGACTGGACTTTCCAGAAGGCCTGTGCAAAGCCCTCGGCATTGTCTTGTTGCAGTAAAACCTCTAGCCCATTGCACCTGTGGGAAAGGAGGAACAAAAGAAGACCTTTTGCTTTGGAAGCAGTGTGCATCCCAGGGCAGAGCGGCATCGAACTGTCTCGGAGGAAGTCCTATTTGTGCCGGCTTGCCGCCAAGGTCTCCTGCAGTCTGTGTTAATTTTTAAACAACCAAAATGGTGCGGTTCTCCAGTGAATAGATGCATAGATGCATGTGCTTTGATTCTCACCATCTTTGCTCAGGGTTGGTGAAGACTGTGTTGGGGTAAGAAGAGCAACTGGAGCATAACCCCAGCCTGGCAGGTTAGGGATGTATCCCACCCTGCAGCGAGGAGGGAGGAGCTATTCAGCCATATCGTTATGGCTGTTTTCAAAGCGCCATTGCCCCAGCTTCTCCTCTCCGATCTCAAGCTCGCCCCACAGTGTCTGAACGAGCATTGCTCCACAGGACAGTCCTGGCATGCATTAAAATACAGCGAGTGCTCATTATATCCAATCAGTGCTCATTGCATTTTAATGAGCTCAGCAAACCTTCTGCTGGGGAAAACTCTGGGGTGTAATAAATGTTGATCACAGGGCGTGAGGAAGGGAGGAGGAAAGGCAGCCTGGAAAATAATACCTTCCCTAAGCAGAGGCTGGTCCTCCTGCCTGGCATCGAGATAACAATCGACTCCATTCTCTCTCTCCCCCATCCACTCCATCGACTCCACAGACACAAAGAGAAGCAAAATGCCTTTTATTCCCTTTTAATCGCACTCTGCTCCATTTCCACCATTCATCCCTTACTGAAGCACAGTTTGCAAGGCAGCCCTTTACACAATCTGCGTTTAAGTTGGTGGGCTTTTGATCACCAGGGCTTTATAATGAGCAACGCCCAACTCATTTCATTAAAAAAGAAAAAAGAAGCCCAAATATGCAGAAGTCAAAAGAAACAGGGCTGGGCTCTTTTCTTTTTACAGCAAGCAAAAGTCTCAGGGCTGCACTGGGCCTGCTCCTCCCTGCTTTGCCTCTGGATTTGTCATCGACTCCCCGTTTGGTGTGTGGCACCCCAGGCAGTTTGGTCTGCACCAAAAGCAAGTCAGCAACCGGGCCTGGGGGTCGGTGCCTTTGGCACTAGAGTGACACTGCCCTGAAATTGGAGCATGGCCTGTTCATAAACTAGCTTTGTTTGGAGCATTGGCAGGCCAAAAACTCAAACAGAGTTTGGCTAGTAGGAACAAAAAAAATGCAGTCTCCTAATGTGATTTGAGGTAGGAACCATGCCATGCTCAGCTCTCCCCTGAGATCTAGGGGAAGTCCTGAAGCGGGCTCAGATTCGCCGACCCGCTGGTGTTGCATCCCTATGATGCTATGATGAGTCTAAGACAGGCAAGGCACAGTATTCTCCCATCTGCTCCTTTCACCTGGTGCATGTCTCACGCACAATTCAAGCTAAGCATGGAGCTTGAGCTGAGCGCAAAGGTCAGACCCGGGCCCGAAGGCCTCTGGGTCCCAACACTGGAGGAGCCTGGTCTGAGTTTGTGGTCCTTCTGTGTTTGGTTTGGGGATAAGGTTTGGTGTCAGAAGAAGGAGCAATGGGCTCAAGCTGCAGCAAGGCAAGTTGAGGTTGGATATTAGGAAAAACTCTCACTAGGAGGGTGGTGAAGCACTGGAAAAGGTTACACAGAGAGGTGGTGGACTCTCCATCCTTGGAGGTTTTGAAGACCCAGCTAGACAGTCTTGGCTGGGCTGATGTAGTTGGGGCTGGTCCTGCTTGGAGCAGGGGTTGGACTAGATGTGACCTCCTGAGGTCCCTTCCACCCGTGTTGTTGTCTGCGAGTCTGTGATAAAGTGCTGGAAGCCAAGGGCTGGGTTATGGTCTGCTGGGTGCAGCTTGCATTCCCATGTGAATTTGCAGCCCTGAGGGCTGAATCAGGGCCTGACTGAGAGCAATGCCACCCTGTAAGGCAGTAGTTAGACTCAAGACACCCCACAGAAAATGCCAGCTCTTGCTTTTCACTCATTTTTTTTTAATTGCAGAAAAATACTGGAGTCAGTCAGAGAACTCAGTAAGTCCAAAACAGGACCGAAGGTTTTTAAACACCGTGGTTCTTATTGGAAATCCCTGGGTTTATCTGGTGAATCCTCTTCGCAAAGTTAGCAGGGATAACCTTGTGCAACACCCTTGAAAGGACCTCCAGGCACCCCTGGTTGAGAACCGCGGCTACAAGGGCTTGTACCTTCAGATCCAAGTGTAGGATCAGAGCTGCAGTCCCCCACGCTCTTCACATTCACCTCACTTGTAATAGTGCCTAATA